AGGTTAAATTTGCCACAGAAAGCAATTTTGTTTGTTGGTAAAAAACAAAAATTTATAAAAGTATTTTTAGAAAGCAGATTTCTGAAAATCCCAATTCTTTTAGTATCAGATGATTTTTGAGAATCTGGTGTGTAATATAAAATGGTTTATTGGATTAATGAAACTTATTCATAAGGAAAGCATTAATGTCCTGAAGATAACTATTAGCACTTAGTTCTATGAAGTGCTTTTCTATGTGGCAGAATTATTCAAACAGGTATTTACTTTTTTGTTTTGGATTATGAGATTTTTGATGCTTTGCCTAAATATAGCTATTCTAATTCTGATGAGAAGTGAGGATTTCTACACAAAATAGAAATAACACTTAGATTGCAATTGCACGCCAACCTTATATTTCTGCAGACATAAATAGGTTTTTCTACTGTGTTATCAATAAAAAGAAAAATAAATGTAATCAATTCTATGCTTCCACTCCTCTGAACTGGTAAAAAAGTATTTAATCCTATTTTGGTATATTTTCACCTTGGCTAACTTTTCAAATAACCTCTGCTCATGTATTTGTAACTTCCTTGCTAAAGTATCCTTATTCTATCTTCTCACTCAGTCATAACAATGTTACAGCGACAAAGATCATCTCGAAGACTTCAAACATTTGCCTATTTAAATTCAAAAGTTCCTGAACCAATGTCTTTTTAACACCTTAGAATGTTTTGTACAAACAATGTCTTTTAATTCTATGATAAGAAACAAGTGCATATGTAGTTTATGTGTCACCCCCAGATCATGCCAAAACAGACTTTTCATTCAGTGTAACCTAAAGAAGTTAGGACCAAGGTTGACTGGAGATAACATCCCAGCTTCCGAGTGCAAACAGAGCTTCATCTGGGTTACATGTGTGGGAAAGAGCCATATGGCAAATATATAAACACCAATCCAAGAAGCAGCAGGTGCAGTTTCTTTCAGATATTTCAGATGAGAATGTAAGGTCCATATGCCAAATGAGGGACCCAGATCTACACACATGCACACTGGCCAGTGGAAACTTAATAAAATCTAATGTCAAATATGGGATTCAAGTTACATGTTATCACTTAATCAGCATTAATTCTTTACATATATATATATATATATATATATATATATATATAGAGAGATAGATAGATAGATAGATAGATAGATAGATATGCAGATACACTCATAGTGAATTTCTATACACCATAATATCAAACACATGCCTAACTTGAATTACTTTCTGTTGTTGTTATGCTTGCCACTATTTTGCCTTAGTATATGAGATATTTAATGCGAAGATGTGCAGTAAATGAATATCATATTGAACTGAATTCAAAATTTTATTTTTTGTAAAATAAGCTTGATTTGACAAGGCATAACTCTACAAGTTTAACTTATAAGCTGGTAGCCTTTAAAATATTGTAATTTTTAACTTGATTTTCTTTGGTGGGTGAGGGTGATGTTATCTTTTTACAATATACAAATTAATTGCATTGAATAATTGAACACTTGAATTAATTATAAGTAGAACCAATAAAACTTCCATCATCCAAAATGTTTTTGTAATACATCAGAAATCACTTATTATTTTTATGACAAATCAATACTTATAAAATACTTATAAAATACTTATAAAATATTCCCTACTGCATCACATTCTTCCAACTTTTGACATCCAATGAAAATTATGTTCTAAGATTTTTCTTTCTCTTTTGAGATGACAGTTCTAGCAAATTTGATATTAATTTTTTACTAATTGTCTTGCAATATATACATTTTATTCTTTCACTAAATATTAAGCAATTTACATGCACTTTGGCAGTTACAATTCTTGAATCATTTGCAGATCTTTGAATTTATGACAATATAAGGAAGAGTCAAAGAATAATGGGAAAATATAATACTAAGGGTATCTTTTTTACAAGTTCTAAATCCTTGCAAATATTTATCATTATATATATAATTAATATTATTTATCATTATTTATATAATGCTAAAATGTTTGAAAAGTCATGTCTTTTGAAACCTTGCCATAGTAATTGGTACCATCTATAATTCCTCACTGACCTTGACTTTGCTGATGATCTTGTATTAATTTCTCAATGTATCAAGGATACAGAATCCTTGATACAATCACTCAAGAAAGCAGCAAACCAGGTAAGTCTCTATTGCAACTTGAGTAAGACAGAATATATCACAACATCCCCATCACCGTCCAAGTTGAAGCCACTCAAAAATACATCCATCAAAAGAGTTGAGGACTTCAAATATCTAAAATCTCATATAATAGATTCCCCAAAAGACTTCAACATCTACAAAGCTCTTACATGGGATGCATACAACAAACTTCCCATCATCCTTAAAAGTCCAAACCTTTTGAACATTGATTGAACAGTCCTACTGTATGAATCAGAAATTTGGACTTTATCTGTTTGTCATGAAAGATGACTGGATGGGACATATACAAATCTACTTAGAAAAATCCAGAACATCAGTTGGAGATCCCATGCAATGCTTAACACAATCTGTGGAGAACTGAGACAGTCTCTCTTAAGCTCAAAAAAAGATGATTGCAGTTTGCCAGTCAATGTCATTGAGTGGACAGGGGAGATTGTCTCATCCTTACTCCTATGGCATCTTTCTGGAAGTGTCTTCTCACAAAAATTGACTTTCTCAGACACCATCGCTTGAGACTCAGGGTTGAACATTGGGGATCTGGGGACAGCAATACAGGACCAAACAGTGTGGAAAGGGATCGTCAATGGAGTTCCAACCAACCATAGGTCAAATGGTGATGATGATTTCTTTCGAAAAAATGCTGTTTAAATAACCTAAGAGATTTTGTTTTAAATATGCAACACTGAAGATTCACATAGTTTATTTAAGATTTACTATTTTTGTTTCATTGTACACTTTTTCCCTCTCTTTTGGATTAATATTCATACTTTTTCATTCATTCTTTTTCTTTAGTTATTCTTTTTATACATGTCTTCATATGTATTCCTTCTTTCTGGTTCATGTCTATTTTTTCTTATTTATTTTTTATTGTTTTTTCTCTTTATTTCCCATATTCCTTTTATATGCCACCTTTTCTGTTTGATTATTTTTTAAATTAATTTTCCTACATTTCTCTTATTTCTTCTTATTACTGCCTTTCTTTCTTTTTAAATAAACAACTGTAGCTATCATCTGTGTTGCTGTCTCATCTATGAATTCCTTATTCTAATTGTGCTTTCAATAAATGCCTTTGCTTGAAGCCAGTGCATTTTGGCAATAAAGTAATTATTTCTTATAACAAGCAGATATTCCATTGTTAGAAAAGGCTATCCATGCTAGTTCTTTGAAAATTTTTAAAAAGGCAACTAAAAATCTTTTTCGTTTATTCCATTAAGATGTTTAAATTCTGATGAAATGTGGAAATCTCACAGCTGTTTTTAGCTGATTAGCTCCTTTTTTTCTTTGTAAGAAAAGGGAGAAAGAAAGAGTAAAATGACTGATTTCTTTGTTTACATGGTGTGGAGAGTGAAGGGACAATTTTTAAATAGGCTTTGTTTGTTATAGAAAACATTTAATAGATTTTGTTTAATGGCAATTTTTTCTGTTCTTTATTTTGAAGAATAAAGCCTTAACAAAAATTAACTATTTGTCTATATGGAAGCAGATCTTCTTTATTTCATTGAATCTTTTTAGTCTTTTATTCTTAAATGCTTCATAATTTTGTTTTGGCTTTATTAAATGCATTTTTGTAATTATGTGTCCTCTTTTCATGGAGACAAACTAACTCCAGTCTCCCATTGAAATATTTTACTAGCTCATGTTAAATGTTAAACAGCCATAGTAAATGTAAACAATTTTTCATTATGCATATATGGAAGTAAATGCAAATACACAATTCTCTGACTTAAATAGGTTTCATTTAAGAAGTGAATATATTTTGAATTTTTATTTTAGAGAAGAGAGAAATTTTTTTCATTGTGAACCTATGATATATTCCTTTTGAATATTTAGTCCTTGGTAAATAAATTGAGTTTAAGATATTGTTTGTCATTTCCAGTGTAGTCATTATCATTCAAAGAGATGTTTGTATTATTGAATTCATTCGCTTGTTGATTTTTATTGTTGCCACAATGTTTTGTGCAATCTATTCTATTGTTTTCCTTTAGTGTACTTTTTATTTTTAAATACCATGTCCCTTCAGGACATAGGTGTTAATAGCTCACCATAGATACTTTTTGTTTATTATCTGTGAATTGTCATGATTTCTTGGGAATGATAGTGAAGTGGTTTCTTTCCATTGCCTTTTCCACAGTTTTTGAATTCGGAATTTTCCTCCTGAGTTTTTCCTTGCCACCTGAGTCTAGAGAGTCAGGTGTATGAAAAGACAGTTTCTTTTTTTTTTGTTAGTAGACAAGAAAAAACTTTATCAGAAAACTTATTTTATAAATCTTACTGTTAATGTTTAAGTTTTCTGGTCCCTACTTTTTTGCAGTGAAATACTGAAAAGAAAAAGTCACACTTTTCATAAGGATAGTAAATTTGATAAGTGGTTAAAAATTATGAGAACTACAAAAATTATTTTATGGTAAGAATATTCAATGTCCTGAAAATCTTATTATATTCTTTGGGATTCAGACCAACATGCTCATCTTGGTTGTTACACCCATAACATTTTATATTTTGTGCTCTCCAGCCTTCTTTCATTATTTATGTTGAAATATTTAAGATTGGTTGTTTTTTTACAGTTTATCAACCTTTTGCAGGTTATTTAAAGCCAGACAGTATTTTGATTGTAAGAATTTTTTGGAAATAATAATGATTTAATAATACAACTCTATTATTAACTCATAGTTGGGGGACAAGAGGTGGATTCATACCTTTTCCAAGGGTATTTGTGCATAAGTGAATATAAAATACCTGGTTGGAACACAGATCTCTAATTTCCAATTCCAAGCCATTATCCATTACACCACCTGGCCATCCAAGATTAGAGCACCTGGCATTCCCAAGCAGACACCTATCTAGGTACTGACCATGCTCAACATTGCTTAACTTCAGTGATCATACAAGACCTGTTGTTTCAATGTGATATGGCTGTAAGCCTGAATATGAGATGACAAATTATCATATGTTTTACTATTCTGCTAAACAAAAGCATGTGATTTTCAGATCTATCAGACCCAGGGATTGAACACACAACTGCCAAAGACCTTATATGTTTAAACAATAGTTTAATACACTAAATCTTGTAGATTAAAATAAATGTTTTTTTGTATTTATTTGTCTGACTGAAAACAGTATTATATTCTAATAAACATAATGTTATATAAGGGAAGTGTCAAAGTTTTCAATATGACCAAGAATAGATTCTCCCAAAATTCTGGTGTTTAGGGGCAGTGAATTGAGTTAAGAACTTTTTAATAACTTATTGTGTGTGTGTGTCTGTCTGTGTGTCTCATGTTTACCATCATTGTGAAAGAGGTTTTAAAAATTTATAATATAAAATATATATATATATATATATATATATATATATATAATATGAATATTCATTTCAACAATTTGAAAACTAAAATTAATTTAAGGGACAAACACTAACATTTGAATCATAAAATCATGTAAAATAAATTTCATATATGTTTTATTGTGTGTGTGTGTTGGTAATTAAATGACAAAATAGAAAAAATAGAAATTCCTACTGAGAAGGAATTTTGGAAAACCAATAATGATTTTATTGATAGAGTTTATTTTAAACGAGTGGAGGAAGAAATGCAACCCTGTGGAAATCTCTTCCGGTTCCATGATTTCCAGCCAACTTTGATCTTCAAAAATTTAAATGCAATGTCATTCATTATCTACTGTCTTGTTGATTCCTCTTCTTTTATTGTTCTCACTCCTTAGAAATATTTTCTTTTTCATTCACACTCAGTCACCCCTTGTGTCTAAGTGGCTTTATTGGCTTGCTTTGCATGAAATTATAAAAAAAGCAAAAAAGAACTGGTTACAATTTTACATAAAATAAAAGCAAAGGTACAGAAATGTATAGATTTAATTTTAATTTTTTAATATCTAGTATATCAAGATGCATCACATAGCTGATGTCATTCAGCTCTTTATTATTTTAAGTTATTATTATTCTGAAAAAGTTCCTCCTAGGAAATGAAATACATTACATAGAACTTTATCATTTTGTCACTGAATTACTCATTATTATCTAATATATAGATTTATATATCATATATATATATATAGATCACATTTGTATATCATATATATATATATATATATATATATATATATATATATATAATAACATTGTTGTGCTGTGATATATGTTGGTCAATGTTTTTAGCACAACTGTAACTATGATGTTGGATGTAACCTTGGTCCTATCTAATGGACTTTATAAACTATATGCTAAATATTTATACAACCAGCAAACAATCTAACCACTATCCTTGAATACTAAACAATTTAAACAAATCAGTCCAATTTAGGTTATCTACCAACTCTAGTAATAAGGATATTTTTGAGAAACATAAAGGCAAATATGTAGAAGCCCTAGAATGAAGAAACCATTATATTAACCTCAGATTCATGGGCAATAATAATAATAATAATAAAAATGCTAACAAGCCAAAATGCCACAAATGCAATATCATATGGTTTAGCCCACCCTTCAGAAACAATGTCAAAATTAATATTGAAAGAATTTTTATGAATTTAATCCATAAGCACTTCAATCATTCAATCCAAAGCTAAAAAAGATTTTCAATAAAAATGTCAAAGTTAGCTACAGTTGTTCAACCAATATATATCACAGCACAACAATGTTACTCTAAACAAACACTACAACCTACAAATCACAAACAAAGTCACCCCCCCCACAAGTAAAGAATGAAACTGCTAAAAAAACAAACCCTGCCCATTAAGCAGCAGATGTATGAGAAAAGCATTAGTTTATAAAGCTAACATCACATATGATGACGAGGTTAAGTTTTATGTGGGTTCTACTAAAAACCATTGAAAATCAAACTTCTACCATCACCAAATGATATTAGGCAATATTAAATATAGTAATAGCATTATCCTCTCTAAATTTTTCTGGAAAATAGTGAGAATGGAAACCCAACTACCACCTAGGACTAGGTAATGAAAGCTAAACCTTTCAGTGGGAAAAGCAATAAATGTAACTTATGTCTTTCTGAGAAGTTAATGATGCTAAAATATATGAGCAACCCCAATCTGTTAAACAAAAGAAACAAGTTAATGATCACTTGCTTACATAGAAGTAAATTCTTACTCAAGCACATTGACCCAGATTAATATAGTTTTCCCAGCCACAGATACTGGTTTTGATGTTGTTGTTGTTATTATTATTATTATTATCTTTTACAATCTTTTTATTTTTACTCTATAACCATTATTACTATTATTTTCATTTTTATTCTTCTATAATTTTTAGTCTTACTATTATCAATATTATTTTTATACTATTATTATCGTTACTTTTATCATTTTATCACTGCTAATCTTTTTATTAATTTATATTACTTTATCACTAATTATTTTAAGCAAAAAAAGAGTTGTTGTCCCCCTTAATCCTCAAATGTATTTTTAATAACAGTACCCATTTTTAATGAAAATTAAAATTTCTAATTCATTTTCAATCTTAAATATAATTTTGAGCATTAATTCAAATTCAAGATTAGATTATAGTGCAATTAAATATTTAACAACATTAATAATTCATCCAAGCAACAACATATATTGCAAGACCCACAAATATTAACCAAATGGTGTAAATTCAAATCAGTACCCAATTATTGCATTGAGCATGAATCTCTGAGTCATATTGTCAATGTGGAGTATTATGTATATTTATTAATATATACTTAATAGTCCTGTTATTTAGAATTGAGCATTTTTTTTTACACTAAGGATATATATATATATATGTGTGTGTGTGTGTGTGTGTTTGTATATGAACACTTACACATACATTTATTTATATTTATCCATTTAATTATATTCATATATATATATATTATAATTATTTTTTTAAAATATGATTCTTTCGCTACATAAGAGTTCTCATGTTTCAAAAACGAGAGCTGAAACCATCAATATAATTATTAAAATTAAATTGAATTAAAGTAACAAACCATGTTTCATCCTCAAGTGAAAATTTAGAAATAACTAATTTTGAAATTTATGTATCGTTATAAGCGTGTTCATTCGTTACTATGGAAACGGCTGTTAAGGTGCGGTGTCTATTTCAAAGCAAATTATGTCTTTCTTGTATGCGTATCATCTGTTCATTCACAGAGAAAGATAGATTTTGACACCATAGTATGTTGTTAAATGTCTGGATAATTTTGCTTATTTTATTTGTTTATTTATTTATTTATTTTCAATGGGCTGTTTCATATATAAATGCATCGCACTGAACTACAATTTATTTTTTTAACAACTTCATAAAGGGTTTTTCCCTTTAATGATTGAGCTAAGCTTTTTAGCCCTTTATTAAACTATGAAATTTGATTTTTTTTTATGCTAATTATTTAATGCGAAATGTTGTTGATGTTGGCAAAAAATCGTTAACTCATTTCTATGGTTTAATAAATTTTCATTATTTAGAAACTTAATGTGTAGTTTTTCATGTAGGCATAAAGGACATGGGTCATCCCAGGTTTTACAAGTTCTTGTTCTATTTATTATTTTCCATTTTACTTTTGGTGTTTTATTCATTTCTTTTAAATGCCAAAAATATTTAGATAGAGATGTCTGATTTCTATTTCTAATATTATTGAAGGAGCTTTTATGCTGCCTCCACCTAATTTTAAATTCATTCTTCATTGACCCAATGTATATCCAATCGGTGTTAGGACTCTCAATGGATGAGATAGTGCATTGGTATACTATGGATTTTATGAGGCATTTATTTTCCAACGGGCAGTCTTCAGGGTTTCTACAATCACATAATTTTTCATTATTTTTGTCTGATTTTAGTTTAGGATTTTTATTAATACTGTTTTGGTGCACGTGTGTTTTCAGGATTTTATTATTATGTTTTTTTATGATTCTTTCTAGATTTTCAGTGCAACTGTAACTTAATTTTAAGGTGTTTTTATTAAAGATCTTGTTAAGTCTGCTTTTAGTAGGGAAGTGTTTTTCAATTAAAGCTAGGAACTTATGTCCTAGCTTAGTACTAACCATTTGGTTGAACTGAGGGGTATACCAGATGATTTTTCTTTTCCTGTTTTTCTTTCTGTTAATGCTATTGTTTCTATAACTTATGTTAGCGTTTTTGTATCCGCTATTGTTTAGGGTTGTGTTATAAAAATTACTATGTTGTCGTTATATTTTTTATTATTAGTTCAGTTCATGCTATATATATATATATATATATATATATATATATATATATATATATATATGTGATACCATGTTATTTGCATTTCTATAAGGACATATTTTTTCCCAGACATGTCACTGATAATTTCCCACTACCATTTAAAATAACAGAATATTTTCTTATGTCCTTACTATTCTTATAATGTGAGTCTTGAAATATATTTTTGCAATTATTATTATGATTGTACTTTTCTCTTTCATGGTGTCAGTCTTTCCATTTCTGAACATCTTTGTACATTCCACCATTGTCATACCAAAAAATACTGTGACCACATCACTAGTGCAAGGAAGATAAATCTAATGCTGCAAAAATTACAGAATTGCACTTGGTAAATATTTATATATGTCAGATTTTATTACATAAGTCAATATTTTCACAATAAAATTGGTATTAAACAACTATTGTTGGTAAAATTTCCAACATATATTTAAGTAATAAAATATACTATGTGAACTTCCACTTATAATATCCATCTATATTAATAATATTGTTAATAACTTGTTTTGGGGATGGGAGGTTTTATGCTACAAGCAAACATTTTATAAATAAATCCAAAAGATGTAGGTTATATAACTATATATTTGATTAATACCATATCGTATATAACTGAATTAACATTTTACATAATAATATTATCTCCTTTACCACTTATAATCTTCATCAATCTTTCATCCATTGATTT